TTCCTTTTGACTTTCTAAAATCGCTTTTATTGTTTCATTTTTGTGTTCGTTTAATCTCTTCTGTAACCGTCTCAACTGCTACCCTCCACAAGGGACTCTTCGACCCTCTGCACAGTATCGTGTGCATTATTTCCATCTCCTCACAATTAGCTTTGCTCATGAGACTTCTCAACGCAAACCTAATTCCATCCTCGGTTAATGAATTTCCACTGCCCAACAAGTTGTTTCCTTCAAAACTATCTGTTATTTCCCCTTCATCCGACCTTGTCTCACAAGAACTCTTTTGATTGGATGGTATATTATTATTGCCCGAACTTGACGAAAACTTCTTGTTTACAAGCTTGTTTTCCCAATATTCAGAGCACTTGTGATGTGGGTCGAGTGCCTCGATTGCCTGAGTACATAAAGCTAAAAATTAGCATTTTTTTAGGGGCAAAATTGCATTTTTAGTCCTGCTGGTTTAAAATTTTGTTGCATTTTTAGTCCTGTAATTTAAAATTTTATTGCAATTTCAGTCCGCAAAATATTAAATCACAAGAAGAAAAGGCGAAAAGTTGGAACCTTAGGACTAAAATTGCTATGACGTTAAACCAACGTGAATAAAAATGCATTTTTACCATTTTTAGGCATCAAATAATATAGAAAATAATACTTGAATGTTCCAAGTTGCAATTACGTTTCTAGATCGTGCGATATATATATATTTTAATTTCTTATTTTCAGATAGGGAGAGGGTTTAACAGGTGTACCTGAATAATTGGCAGAGAATGAAAACCAAACATTTCGAGCCCGTTGATGCTAGTTGAGGGCTGCAGAGGAGGAAGTCCTTGCTTGCCGAAAAGCTTTTGCTTCGCTATTTCTTCATTAAGTCTCAGTAGCACCATTTCCCAGCATTGGCCTGCCGAGCCGTTCACAAAGGTCTCGTTTGGTTTCTCTTCCAGAGTAACCTGTTATATATACAAATTTTAAAATTGTTTTAAAATAAATCACCCAATACAGATAAAAAAAAAATAAAAAATTATCCTAGATAACATGCCCGAAATTCATCAAAAAAAAAAGAAAATATATTTTCAGTTCTTCAAATGGAAAAAGGTCATAAACTGTGTGGTTACCTTGAATAAAGGACCTAAGAGCCCACCATCCATGATTTCCGACGTGTAATGAGTCTTATCTAAAGGGTCACGAATGTTGAAGAACTTCACTCGGCTTTTGTATCCTGCAAAAGTTTTATATAGCACGAAATAATACAATGTAAGTTTTGCTAAAAGGAAA